TCTGCTGCCCAAGTCACAGTCACTTGCTGCAAGAACCCAGCAGGAATCTCCTGTGCCTCTTGGGATGCTGAAGAAGTGTAAGTGAAGATAGGGTGAGACTGAGATGCAACATGCAGGTGAAGTAATGAGTCAGGGACTATATTTTTGAGTGCTGAGAAGGTAAAGTAGGAGAACAGAGAAGAAGTGGATAAGGGACTTTGGCTTTCTTGCTCACTTCAGGTCCAGCGTTCATGTGAGAGCTGCTGCTGTGGTGGATGGTCCTGGTTAGCATTCACCAAGCAAAGTTACAAAATCCTGAACTAGTTACACCTGAGCTTTTGTCACTTACAAGTGAGGTCATCAAATTTTCAGGCTCACCTGGCAAAAAAAGTTCCATTTACATGATCAACACCATCCACAGATAATGTCATACCTGACCTTGAACAAATGCTTGAACTTGTACTCCCCAGCAGTACTTTAAAAGGCTGGTTTTGCCACATATCAGCGTAGCATGGCTGTTACCTAATTTAACAAGAGTTAATTAAGCTGATGCTGTGTTAATGAGTGTATTAGAAACATACATGTTGGGGAAAATGTGTGAGTGGATTGTACATCAATTTTGTTCTTCTCTTGTTTACTCATTAAAACAAGTGTTTAGCCCTTGATAACCTTCTTTCTGTTACCATTTTCCTGGTGGTTTTCCTTTTTCTTTAATGCCTGTCTCTGCCTGTATTTAAAATAGTTGCTGGGCCATTGCTTTTCCTGTGTCTGGATATCTTGCATCTATATTTTGCAAAAATGTCTAGTTCTATTTGAAGATTTCTAATTATTTCTGTTTCTATATCTCTTGCTCTACAGCATGTTAGAATTATGGATGCCTTTTAATTGTATCCCAAGGCCTTTGACTCTGTTTTTGAAGAGTTTTCCACTCTGTGTTGGTTCAGTCTCCTGATAGATAGATGTTACTAAAATTTGTAGAAGGTAGCATGTTTGGGTCATAGCTTACTATGACCCAAAGGCATAAGCTTTGCTTATTATTTATGTTGACTGGTGGTTTGAGAGCAGGAGGCGAAACTCTTTGTGGGGGACACAGAAGTAACCTCCTGCAGTTCTGGCTGTCCTCTCTCAGTATAACCATGGCTGAGAACCAGGTGCTGCAGTGCTGCGTGATGCCGGCTGCCTCCCTCCATGGTGTGCCACTCTCAGGCCAGCTAAAAGGAGAAGATTGGAAGTCCAGAGCTGTGTCCTTATATGACACTGGGAGTCAAACAGGGATGGGAACAAAATCCAGGTTGCTGACAACGTTTGGTGTTTTAAGCATCCTTTCTTCCATCATGGGTTTCAGAAGGATAGTGGTAGGAGCTTTTAAAATGCACAAAAGAGAGGATAGTATTTGTCCCTCCCTAGTAAACTTCATTAGTGCCTTTGCCATGTTAGAATGCTGAATATAATGCAAGCCCCAAAGTCCAGGGAATGATGAGGTAAGGGCAAGCATAGATCTTAATTCTGCCCAAGGACCCAAGTATACCTGTTGGAACAGTTCAATGTGAGTACTATAAAAAGCAGGTATGAAAAACTGAGAAAATACATTTTTGTTTGCATTTTCATCTTTCATTGTCTATGCTCCAGCTTCAAGTAGCTGGGAAATACTTTAGCAAAGGCAAGCATAGCTGTTAGCTCACAGCAAGCACTGCCTTTGAGGAAGCAAGTGTACCTGTTTAAGGATGGGATTGGTTAGGTTGCATTGTTAAGGGCAAACGAGGTTTTCTTCTCACATGCGTTGCCGGTGATGTGATGTGATGTGATGCGATGTGACAGTTGGTAGTTTGTGGGCACAATGAGATGTCGTGGAGTGAAGGAATCATCTGATCAAAGGTGGAGCGTTTGTAACATTTAGTGCATCTGAGAACATCTCAAAACGTACAGCAGGAACATTTGCTGTAGCTCTTGTTTGCTTTAGATGACTAACGCAAAATTGGATGCAGACCACGGTGGCTGTGCTTTCTTCTTAGGGGTGTTGTAGTAAGATGGAAATGCAGTGTTCTTAAAGAAGATTTCAGCTGCACTTTGGTGCTTATGTTGCCTTAACCTCTTATTTCCAATTTAAGTTGTGAGGATTTTGCTACTCTTCACATTTCTGAAGGATATTTCTCTGCTTGTAAGGTCTTCAGTTGCTTTGTACATTAATTACATTTAATAAATATTTTTGCAGTATTGTCATGCAACAGATTTTCTTCTTTTTTTAGGGCAGGAAAGACATGTGTCTAGGAACCTACTGGTATGACCTTCCTCTGGGATACAGGAGACCCAGATTTTAATTCCCTTGATCTGGAAGACACAAACAGGCATACTAAATCAAATCAGGGTTCATTTTGTGCTCATCTACGATTCTGTCTCAGTCAGGGCCAGTACTAGATGAAGAAGGTATAAACAGCTGAGGAATAAAACAGTACTTCGGTCTTTTCATTCTTTTGCTGTCTGCCTCTTTATGTTTAGTAATGCTTGATGTGCTTTTCTTACATAAATTTATCTAATGGGAGATCAGATCTGTCATGTCTTAGAAGATAGACTTAATTCCTTTCATAAAAGAAAAAGGGAAATATTTATGTGAGGCTAAAGCTGGTGATGTTCAGAGGCTGATCCCACGCTAGCTTGGCAGCAGCATATGCCTCTTCAGATCTGAGCTCAGGTCTCCATTGCTTCCTTGGGCATGGGGACTGGAAGTGAGTGGTGTACCTAACAGAGAGTGTGATGGGTGGTTTCAGTAAGAAATGGTGTGACTTCAGGAGAGGGGTCGTAGCTGAAAAGTCTGAAAAACCATAGATACCTTTCTTAAGCCTGAAGGCAGTCCAAGACTAACTTTACACCTTCTACTGACCACCACTTATCTCAGTGTTTTCTGTAGAGCTTGTTCAAAGGAGCATTGTAGGGAGAGGTGAATCCCAATGAGATCCTGGAAGTTGCAGCCTCACAGTCTCTCTATGGATTTAGCTGTCAGTCATTTATTTTCCTTACATCATATTTGGTTCCATTTTCTCAGAGGGAAAGACTGTGAAGACTGTGCAGGGTATCAGAGCCTTTCCCAGACACTAGATGTTTTCAACTCTTTTCTTCTTGGCACTGATAGATCAGCTGTGCTTCTAATGTGAAATTTGACTTCCCATGCGAACTTCAGCGTGCATTGACCCAAATTCCCAGATGAGTCCATACACTGCCCTTGGGAAGTTCACTGCAATGTCTGCCCTTAAGGCCTGAACCCAGCTGCCCGGGATACTCTCAGATTCAACATACAAACACAACATTGTCTTACTGACCTGCGGTGGCTGTCTTATGAGACTGCTTGCAGATTGTCTACCATCAGATGCCTAGCTCCCTATGCCATGCCTAGCTGCCTATGCCTTTTTAATGCTTCACATCGCTCAGCACAGCTAGAATTAAACCCTTAATAATGTTTTCATTATTGTGTTCCCAGTGGGACACTGTATGTCAGCAAATTGCAAAGGAAGCAGAGCTGGTAAAGGAGTTTTGGAATACTTGCAGAGTCTTCCTTTTGGGGAGGAGAGACTTGAGCTCCCTGGGATTTGCTGGGTTTGGGAAGCACTTGCTAATGTTAGCTAAAAGCCTTTCCTCCCCTGCAATACTCTGCTCTCTTCCTTTTGTCACACAACCTTCCTCCACTATTTCTACAAAAAGGCTTTCATGCAATCTGGCATGTCAGCTGTTGCCTTTGTGCATTGTGCTGGGTCTGGGATAAAGCATAAGCTCTTCTTTATAGGATGGCATGAATGCTGATGGTGCTCTGGTTAAGAAAAAGGCAACCAGGCAAACTTAAAATTAACAATAATTAAGCAGATTTGGGAACTGTGAGTTCCTAGAAGTAGCTGCATTTTTGAAGGTTTTCCTTTCCCATTTTAAAGCTGTTCACCTTGGGATTTTCATTATGGAAAACTGCATTGTTAGGAAACAGACTTGCGTGTAGATCTCAGTACTGCAAGATTTATCTTCAGAAAGCCAATTAGTGCTTGAAGTAGAAGCTAATCTACTTCACGTGTGTAATTTACATCCCTTGTTTTATAAACAGCAGCAATAACCACACTGCAAAACATCATCTTAAGAAAGATCAGGTACTGGTCTGTTTCTTTACATCTTTTCTATATGTTTCTATTTCTAGAGGGTTTTTCCACTAACCTAATGTGTGTCAGTGTGAACACTTATGTGGAGACAGTACAATCCGCTGCAGCAGAGCTCCTCCAGGGAGATGGCTTAATCAGCCCTAGGGCGAGTTCTTAAATAAGGGAGGTGACAGACTGTAGAAAAGCAGCAAAGATGTGAAATCTTTGAAAAAAAGGAATGTGACTCTACCTTCTGGAGGGGAGCAATTCTATTACACATTGTAAGTAGAAATAGAAAGCAATTCTATTACATGTTGAGATCCATAAGCCGAGCATCCAGCCTGATTTCCCTTGCTACGGTGAGCAGTTAGAAATCAAAACTCACATGGACCCTTTAAACTACCGGAACAAAAAAACCCAACTGTGCTATAATCAAACACCAAGCTGCTGATAGAACCTCCTCAGTGCAGATCAGTACTAAGATATAGTCCATCCTCTTAAGAAATACGTTTTGTGTGTTAGATTGCTTGGCTTTTACCCCAAACCCCATTGTTTAGGCGTGAATTAGCAAGGCAGTGTTGGCACTGTCAATCATTGTAACGTGCTCTCCATCTGCCATTCTGTTTTCAAAAACTTTTTAGAACTAGCTACAGGTATCAGTGTGGGCACTAAGCATCTTTACTTGTGCCAGCCTTTGTGCCTATTTTGAGAAGGGCCAAAAGCTGCAGCCAAGGCACTGGATGATGTAAAAATTAAGATACTCCAGCTCTGGCTGTAATCAGCGTGCTGTCAAGTTGTATCCGCCTTTGGAAGCAGAGAGGAGGGGAAAATAGGAAATTGAGTGCCGGCAAGCTGAAAACGGAAGTCCATGCACAGACTGACCTCTGTGTGTCTGTTCTTCATTGACAGGTTGATGACACCAGGGAGTGAAATTCGATTTGTCCACAAGCACATGGGTCTGGTGCCAGGCTGGGGAGGAGCTGCCCGGCTGGTGCGGATCGTCGGCAGCGGGGCTGCCCTCCGGCTGCTGAGCGGGGCTGCCAGGGTGGACCCCGAGAGAGCTTTGTGCCTTGGGCTCTCAGAAGAGACATTGTCATCTTCAGAGGAAACTGCAGCCTTAGAAGAAGCCCGAGCCTGGCTGAGTCAGTATACAGAGGGTCCTGCCAGTGTGATTCGGGCTGTGAAAAAGGTGGTGACAGCAGGAAGAGAGCTACCAGTGGAAGCTGCCCTGAGGACAGAGAAGGACGTTTTTGGAACTGTATGGGGTGGGCCTGCCAATTTGCAGGCATTGGTTAGAAGACCAAAGCATAAATGACAGTCAACATATAAGAAATGTTCTTGACCTTTTTGCAAACAAAGCTTTCACTAAAGCAGGCATTAAACTAAATCATTTAAGGACTTGTTCATCTAAACTGGCATTAACATTCCTGTTGTTCATGTTGGCAGACATATTTAGTGTACAACCACAGAGAAATACCCAGCAGACTCTTTACTGTCCTAATCACCACTGAATGGAGATTAGAGAAATTAGTATGTAAAGGTAAATACTGTGCTGAGAATAGAACTATAATTCTTTTGGAATTAGGCTGAAGATTATTTTCTTTTGAGTTTTTTAACTGGTATGGTAAGGAATTGCTTGAAAGATATGAGGTTTATTTATTTGCAGAACAGGTGCATCTAAAGCTAAAATACAAGTTCCCCCAAATGAGACCAGTGTCTTTAAGCAGCTTTGAAGGAATGATAACTTGTGAGATGATATTTTTTATTTTTTCATCTTCAGTCAGTTCTTTCTATAATTGCTGAGAAAGTATCCAAGGATACTTCAGTTTTAATGTCAGTTTTTACAGGAGAAGCTCTGCCTTACTGAAGAGCTTATAGCCCCCATTCACTGGCATCGATTCAGATCTTTAAATGCATTTAGGTGTCTTCTCATTGCTTGAGGAACCAACTGCCTACACAGGCATCTGCACATTCCCATAACCTGGACCTGTGCAAAGCTGCTGACCTGATTCTTTACATAGAATCTAGTGGAAATCTTGGAAGGCCATGATGTATCGTGACCCCAGATGGGATGTCCTTGACTGACTGGGTGGTCTGAGTACTTCAGCATTCTGTAAGGACTTGCATGTGGATCTGTCTGTCTTACTTCAGAGTATGTTTATAGGTAGGCTGTATATTTGGGCTGACCAGAAGATTTGGAATTCTGTGTCCACTTAATGCCAGTGACTGTGCAAGTAATTAGATAACTCAGTGGGGAGGGTTTTCCCTTCAGAAATTAGAAACTAACACCAAGTCCTTGCTTTGGTAGACAATTCTTAAAATGAAACATCTGTGAGAGCAAAAACGCGGAGCCATATCCATGACTGAGAGTTTCCTGTACTGTTGGTTAGTATGCACTTTTCTCTGAATCCAGCAGGAGCTGAGATCTGAGCCCTGGACCCAGGTACTCCAGGGGAGCGTGTTAAGGAGGAAACTTTGGGCTACGTGGCATTGGCTCTGAGGATGCATAACTAACTCTAGATCCAGGGAACAAGCAAAAAGCTCCCTCAGGAAAAGGAGGCGATTCCTTAGATGGAAATCCATGTTAGGATTTCTACAGTGTGGCAGGATTCCTGAGTCTTAGACAGCGAGGTAACTGTACACGTGTTGAGGATCTTGGGACAGATCAGTGATGGGAATTATGTCTGGATTGCCTGTCAAGATTCTGCAGCTTTTGAGCAGATGCTGTGCTCTGCTTGGGGATGTTTTATTATATGGCTTTTCCAGCAGGGAATGTGTATAGCCCGAAGCAACAAAAAGAAATGCTGAAGAAAGGGATGTGTGTGGAGCTGGCACCTCAGGGAGGATAAGGAACTTACTCTGCCCTGTTGATCCTGCCTGTTTGCCTTCACACCTGAAGCTGCTGCTGGCAGATTTCAAATCTTTCTTCCTCAAAAGTAAAGTTCATTTTTTACTTTCAGGATAGAGAAGAGACAGGAGTGGGAACATGGGGAGAGAGTAGTGATCTGGTTTGTGCCTTTTCCCCACCTCCCCACCCTCCAGTAGCTCAGTTGTTAGTCCCCTATGCAGCTCTATTCTTTCCCGTGCTCTAACGGACTTCAAGCCCCTGACTTTGAAGCACAGATGTTTTAATATAGTCAGGCAGTACCTGACTGTTTAGTAATGAAGCTGTTTTGCTTTTCATGAAGTCCCTCAAGACTCGTGAGGGATTCCAGACTGCCAACATCACTGAGCATTCAGAGCATGCTCCAGTCCATACTCATCCAACGTTTTGAAGCAATAGCATATCACGTTGTCATGAGTCAAAAAAATTGTGCTTTAACAGGTAACTAGTTATGTCTTTGCTAGTAACAAGAATTAATTTGCCATTACTAATACTGTCATTATGTTTTTAAAATGGATGTGAAAATTGCTTGGAACCTGAGCAAGACCCTTGAATTATTTTTGCTTTTTCAGATGCCAGGCTGTAAGGCTCATTAGCGTATCCTGTGCACTGGGTGATATAAATTTGAAAGGGAGGAAATTGTAGCAGAAAAGCAGAATCTGTTTTACTTGCACATTTTGAACTAGACCTGTGCTGTCAGTAAGGGGAAAACTCTGTATGTACATCTATTGGAGACCACTTTCCATTTTGATTTGTAGATTATGAACTTACTTCTCATTTCAGCAAATAATACATTTCCCCAGGCATCCTCTCCAGTTTGTATCAAAGGCAAATGTTTGCTGCTCAGAACAGGACAAATAATTAACTAGTACTGAGCAAGACACTTTAAGAAAAGGTTACAGAAACTCATTGTCCTCTAGTCTGTTGGAATCACAAAAATACCAAACATAGCTACAGGAGATTTTGAAGGTAATTACAGGTGTTTGCTTGGATCAAGCATTTTGTGAGCAGCCTAATACCATATTCTCTGGTGTCTTTTCTGTTTTAAAAGCGAGTACAGCCCTTCATATGAAAACCAGCCTAACTAAATTACCTTGAGTGCTAGCATGAGAGCTCCAGACTGAGCGAGATGAAACAGAATCTCATTTTACCAATTTCAAACCCAAATGATTTACTTAATCGAATACTTGCTTATCATCTTAAAGTGACAAATACCTATAACCAGCAGCTGATAAGTATTTATATCTTCTTTACAATTATTAAAGACTCCAAGCTTCATCTCAGTTTTTGTTCCCCTTCAGAAATGGCCTAAAAACAAACAAGCACTAAATATACAAAATAAATTAGAAACCTCTGTTCAAAATTGATACTCCCTGTCTAATTAAATGGACTGTTGGCTTTTGTATTTCCTAGGGACTAGTTTGCCAGCTCCCTCCTCGGCAACCATTTCCTATTACACTGTGAAGCACCTGTCTTGTACCCATGCCTCTCTGTACTGGGACAGCCAGAGTGCTTAATGGGAGCGTGGATTCAGCACCAAGCCTTCAAAGGTGGATACTGGAGGTCACTTTTACCACTGTAGATACTTTATCATATTTGCTTCTGACAGAAATATACTTACCAAGTGGGCAATCTAGGTAAGCTAGATGTT